ACTCTGCCTGGATGGAAGACCAGCATTAAAGATTGCCGTAGTTTCGATGAACTGCCGATCAACGCACAAAAATATGTTCGAAAAATAGAAGAAATGGTTCAGATACCAGGYAAGTTGTTATCGTTTGAAATCAGGGACTTGAAATTAAAGTACGCGGTCAAAAAATCTTTTTATCTAGTGACGTCATGTGTTTTATGACGAAATGCATCATGGTATTGGTGAAAGTATCAAGATGGCGGCCGCAATTAATAAAACAGCAGATTTTTTAAGGACTTTTTAGCGTAAATAGGAAAGTTCCAGACGATGGTCTGGGAAAGTGCGGAGATTACATTTCCCATCATGCTTTGCTGTACAAAATGGCGTCGCTGTACACTGACTATTGCACTATATTATAACTATTGTTCGTTGGGAAGAGTTATAATGGAAGTATCGTGAAACTTTTCATAAATTGATTATCTTTCAGAAAATCCCTTAATTTCAAACTCTCTTTCCATTCTGTTTTCTCTCCCTTTCCTCTCCAACTCTTCTTTATGTATCATAAATACAACGTTTAGATTCTGGAAACTCATTGTTGATTCTCATGTGACCAAATGTTTTTTTTGTTTTTCAGTTCGATGGGTGGGCGTTGGTCAAGCACGTGACGCCATGATTTCCGTTTTTTAATGCACACAATAACAAGCGTGAGGTGATTTTGCACTAACAGATCACGTGATCTTGTCTCTCTTACATCAAGCAGATAAGGGCCTGGACATATGAAGCGGGCGGGCCCGGTTGACTGGACTGTTTGTTTGTTTGTTTGTTTGTTTGTTTGTATGTTGTTTTTTTTTGTGTGTGTGGGTTTTTTTTGTATTGTGTCTGCCAGGGAAAAGTAAACAAAGACACCAGCCAGGTTAACCGGGCCAGCACAATTCATATAATCAGGCCTTAAGTCCAAACTATAACAACGCCATTGGGTGTGATAAAATTTCGATAATGTGTTTTATATCATAAGTGCTTGTAAAATGAAATTCAATCATTTTCTTTATTTAATCATAACATGAAATGAGAGATGCGTGTCGGACAAATGATGGCGTAAATGCAGTATCTCAACAGTCATAATAATGAACACAGTGTAACAGTACTTCTTTGTAGTTCATTGTCCTAATGGTTCCTAGGCCTGGGTCAAACGCCGAAACTATTCCGTCGAACTTAAGATTTCTGTTCAAATTTCTTTTGATGACCAATCTTTCAAGAGCTTTTAAAATGCAAAATGTTTAATGTAAAAGGGTAGTTTATGGTAAAAATGGGCATTTAAAAAAACTATGGTATGTTTTTTCCACAACAAAAGCTATAAAATTTAAGAGAATTGGACAGTTGCAATTTAGTGCAAGAGAAGTGCTGAATAAGAGTTGCTACTAATGCAAATGAGATCACGATGATGATTTTCGCACGTAAAACGTTAGAAAACTAAATCTGTACAGCAAAAATTTAGTTCGGCTTTGATCCATGCCTTATGGAAAAACGTGTCGGCCAGTTGCTACTCAACGCGTTTTCTCACAAAGATTTTTTTTGCGGAATTTTTCGGCAATCGAGTTGAGTTAATGGAAAAACTTGTTCATATGTGACTATATGTACAAATCGTCGCTTTCAATACAACATGACTGTATTCGAGGATGCTTTTTTTTACAAATAACAGTCCTACCGCTAAATGTACTGCATTAGCTCTARGGACAGTAGTACAGTTTGTATATCAAATGCAATTTTCACTAGCAGCGTGAATCTCTATTTATTTAAGAATAAAAATGTCATTTGCTTTTGTTTTGATTTTATTGTGGTTATTACCTACAATGCACCTTTGCATGTCATTGTAAAATTCAATATCGATATTGTTTACCTTTACAGACTTTTTCAAAACGCTGTATTGAGTATCTAGCCTTGTTGAAGCRCCCTACCCTACCCTTCCCTAGGCTAAAGACAATAAAAAGACCAACCCCTGAATTATATMTATACATTTAATACTCCAGTTTCGAATTCATAGCGCAAAACCGCTGCTTTATTCTCTTGCTCAAAGACCTTACAAACACAAAAGAGAGCACGAGAAAATGTCGTTATTACAATAGACTTGAAAATTTGCATTTTCCCCGAGTTGAGACTAACCCTGTATTCCCATGAGACCTAAGGTATGAGCCTTCTGGGAATACAGGGTTAGCCTCAACTCGGGGAAAATGTAAATTGTAAGCGCTATTGTACAAGCAACATTTTCTCGTGCTTTCTTTTGTCTTTGGTAAGTTCTTTGCGTAAGAGAATCTGCTGTCAAATGAAACAGCGGTTATTCGCTTTGAATTCGAAACTGGAGTATTGTAAGAACTTGATGAACAAAAACCCCACGACAAATTTTCATACAATCATTTATTATTAGACATAATTTACAACCCAGCTCAAATATTTTGCTATGTACATAACTGGCAAAAGCCAAGTATCATATTTGTATTTTATTTTTATTATTATTATTATTTATTGTATCAGTATTATAAATCATTTTTATGTTTTGTTTATTCGCTTTTTGTTTTGTGTTATTTTTTCTTGTTGTTGGTAGTTTTAATATTTTTTTATTGTTTTTTGGTTTTATTATCTGTTGTTTATATTTTGGTTATGTGGTTTTTGTTCGTTTTTGGGTTGTGTCATTTTTGTTGTTGATTTTTTTTTAGCTTGGGGGGTTGTCGTTTTTGTTTGTTTTTTTTTTTTCTTCTTAGAAGGTGCTCTGACTTATAGTGTATATCAGCGTAAACAAATGCTCATTTCTACATTCTACACCATAAATAGTAGGAATACTTGACAGTGGTTGCTCTTGCCATGTTAGATACCTGTATATAATTGTGCTTGGGTGGAAAAAAAGTTCAACCACTATCTTGTTGCGGAGCCTTGGCGTTTTTTCGAGATGGCGCTGGTTAATTTCAAAGTTTCAAAAAGAGTTGATGCACTTAATCCATGAAACTTAAACATTACAAAATAGTTCTGAATTGTTCTAATTCCTTTGTTTTCAGTTTTCTAATGCTATTTCGTAGTAAGTAGTAATATTTGCATGATTTAGACGACTAGATTGAACACGTAATCCATGATATTGTTCAGAATCATGTTACACTAAATTTGCACTAAATTCCTTTGAATCTCGTTTATGGAACAACATGTAAAACAGTATCACAATATAGTATACAAAGAGTTGAGATTGCAAAAACTAAAAGTGAGGAAAARGTAGAGTGATCGCACTTTAACTGTGGAACTGTAAGTAGTACTAACTTGTGCTAAAAGTGGACTTGAAACAAGACAGCATTGAATACTTCATTTTTTATCGATTCAAATTAATTTGCGTACCGCATGCACGATTTACTTAATACACCCAAATAGAACTATTTAGTTTGTACAGTTGCACGGTTTTTAAAAGTGCGATCACTGTACCAAGCAAATAGTGCTAAAGAGATTTGACAAAAGAAAACAAAGCAATTCAAATAATTCAGTACAATTTGRAAGTCTTTAATTACTAAACGTTTTCACGGTTTAGCTGTGCGTGTTTGCACTCTAGAAGAGAGGAGAAGTCAAAAAGCCGCGAAACAGATAYTGCATTAATTGATCGTTTTTAGCCATTCCCATAACCATATGAATCAAAAGCTTAAAGAGCGGCAGCCATGTTGGATGAATGAACAATAGATACTAATGAGAAATCTTTTCTTGAAGTTCCTCCAAGATGGCCGCGTGTAGTGAAAACAAGGAAGGCATTTTAGTACGCTCTGATTACCTTCGTTTTCTTTTTTTGTCAGTTTGACTTAAATCTGACTTAAAAAGGCTTTTTTTTTTTCATGGGTATAATGACTTCACTTTTCAATTTCAGGGATTATTAAAGGTTTTCACTATCGAAAAGGATTCTTGTTTTGAATATGCAGACTGTTATCATATAAGGAAAGGCTCATTTAAACAACATATCTACCTGACATGCGYATTGCTGAATCAATCGATGTAATTTGTTCCTTGATGCATTGAAAGTGAAGTATATCATACGACTTCCATAGAGCGGATTTCGTATGAGTGGGACACCGTTACCGCACRGTTACCGCACAVTKACCGGACCTGGCCTTCACAATTTTGGTGAAACAATGGGGCACTAGAATTTGGTTACAGTACGATTACGGTCACAGTACAGTACCGTCCGTTTCCCACTCATACGAAATCCGCTCTATATGGATGTACAGTCAACTCTCTTCATACGGACACCCCGCTACAACGGAAACCTCGATATTGCAGACAGTAAAATACTGAATCCCCGGCGAAAAATACAAAGAAATAACTGAAAGTAAACTCGTTACTACGAGGGTTTCCGTAATAGCGAGAGTTGACTGTAGAAATAGAAGGCTATCATGTCCCTATAAAAGGTTCATGAATATGTTATTCATGTATTCCGTTACATATATACCACAACAATTCAGGTTCACTCAAGCAAGTTCTTCTTCACATCATAAGGACATGAGAGCCTTCTATGTGTACATGAGTACCGTGTAGATGCATGACAACCATATATGGAAGTCGTACGACAAGATTCTTTTCGGTGCATTCCAGTGTGACTATATACTTGTACTCAAGGACTACCTATTTCGGACTGACGCATCCCACTAAACGTGTTATAAGTAACCTGTTAAACCTGTTAAACGTGTTAAAAATAACCTGAACTTAAACGCCATCTGATAGCAGGGAGACCAGGAARTGAAACACCGGGAGCTTCATTGTCTTTGAGCCATCACAATGCTCTCACGTGACTATGTATCCACCAATCACGACTTGCTGGTGTCATGCTGAATTTTGATTGGGMATTCGTTTATGTCCATATTTAGCTGCGTATAGATAATATCAAAGATGGTTTATTACTGAATCTGGAAATAATCAAATGGTCCAGGAATCGGAGCAGAACCGGAGATCACAGTACGAAGCTACTGAACACAACCAATCTCACGTGTGTCAAATAACACCAGCCTATTCTTTATGTCCATTACAATAAAAATAAAATACTTGGATTTCACAAGAGAAAATGAGATCAGCAAAGAATCCCTTGTACTTATACATATCAATCATGTCTGATMTTTTTTTCTATTTTTAGAACAAAAGCTATTTTTAGATTGTCACCAATCCCACACGGCCACTACTCGTTCATCTGCTATTTTTCTGTGTTTTATGTCCAATATTGTTAGTGAAAAGCTAAAAAATTAATTATTTTTATGAAAGAGACATCTTGAGGAAGAAACTTAAAATACGGCACCATCTTCGAAACAAAGAAAAATAATGAAAAACTAAAAATATAGAACGAAAKGGTTGAGAAAGCAGTACCAGGACTTTCTTCTCGGATCTCCTTTTCTCTCCATTTCATAAACAATTACTAGATTTGAGTCGATAGTTTGATAAATGGAAAATTGTGCAAACAACAGCTACCCTGCAAAATTTTCTATATCCTAATCATCCTAATCATACACAGCCTCAATCAATAATTCTTTATGTCATACTTAGCCTCAATCAATAATTATTCATATCATACTCAACCTCAATCAATAATTATTCATATCATACTCAACCTCAATCAATAATTATTCATATCATACTCAACCTCAATCAATAATTATTCATATCATACTCAACCTCAACCATTTCTTCATATCTTAGGTAGTGATAAAATTATGAAGTTAAATTAATATAACATACCTGACAATCCGACAAAAGCACATCCCCAAGTTATGCTCCAAATCCAACCAATCATTAAAAACACAACAGTCGTCATCTGTGCTAAACCAACAAAACAATTTACACAGAGTACAGCCATCTTGTCGTACATCGCCTCTTCTTGCGACAAACAGAACGCCACGAACCCTGACAATATGGTTCCTTTGATACAAAACGATAAATCCATAAGTACCTGAATGTCAATGAAAGCTTAGATTTCCTGCTCTTACACCGAAARGAATAGACAACTAACTGGTATTTCGAATGTTGATCCTTCTTCCGTGTAAAATGGCAGTCAAAGAAGCAACGTTAGTAGGTTTTTTGTCTGTCTCTGATCGAAACTATGTAATGGTACTAGACGCAAATCGCGCTTACTTGACGTTCGTATTCTCTTTCTATAAGTTGAAATACATTAGGTAGCTGTTGTCGCCAACGAGCCTAACTTACATATTCAATGCAAGGCATAACTTTTTTTAATCTGCTTGTTCACCACAAAAAAATCGCATAGTTTGGGGTGTGGCTTTATCCCCAGAAATACAATAATCTCGTAAAAAAAGGGGATTCGAGAAAATCACATCTCTATACGGGTTTTTATTGGATCTCACGAAAAGGAAAAATAGAAGCTATAACAAACACTTACAGTGTACTATTAAGCAAACCTTTCGGCCCCTTCGGATCGGTGGCCGCCTTATTTTACCATCCCGCTATGTGGCAATTGTCTTTATATTGTTGTCATGACAATGAACGACTGAAAAACGCTGCGTCATCCGTTTGACGATCGATATTATGCCCTCCATTTTGAGTGCTTTCGAGTGATTAGTTCCGACATGAAGTCCCTAACAWTTCGAACAGATATTGCATACATATATGCAGTGATTGGCGAGCGTCTCGATGTTCGATTTCTAGTCATATTTTATCAAATTCAATGGAAAATCATCGCAGTGATCGCATCTTTATATGAACTTTGCATACGACTTTAACGCGGATTCGATTTTCCCTTAAAAATAATACTTCATCTTGATTTTTTAGCAAAATATTCTTTAGATGATGTTGGAATTTGAGAAGCAAATAAAATATTCGCGTCCGAYCTTTATAGGCTGTCAAACTGCTTGCTTGCAGCTCGTAGTTTCCCATAAAGGTCTCCCGCGCATATATGTTACCTAAGGAGCCTGTTTGTAGCTCACTCAGTATTTTGCATATTTTGGCAAAGTTCTTTGAAAAGTTGAAGGCCGGCGCAAAACCTTGGCATTACTGGCGCAATATTGGTCAATATTGTGAAATTAGATCCTGAGTTCAGTAGAATACATAAAAAACTTATGCAATAATATCGCTAATTATATTTTGTGTCAATTCCATCATCAATGCATCTTTCAGAAAATTTCAATTTCATCTGTTCAGAAAGATGAAAAGATGAAAGATGAAAATTTCAATTTCATCTGTTCAGCGTAACAAACGGACCTTAAATTACTTTTTTTTTGTTTTAGGATTATTATTCATGTTTTCTGCGAGCTTTTAATTATTATTTTAAGAATTCAAATCCGGCTACTCCTCTCCTCCCCTTCCGTCKCCTTTTATGGTCCCCKGGTCCATTTTCTTTGATTCGACCCGCATCTCTTTTTCCTAACAGCTATAATTTATAATCTTTATCATTCATATTTTGTATCTCATCCATCCATCCTTCCAATCCATTCATTTATTGCACATTTAATAAATGCATAAAATATGGACAATAAAGTGAATTAGAAAAATAGAGCAATTTAAAGGTGAAAAGCGTTTGCCCTTTTTTAATAAAGATACTTAGTAATCTGGCGTAAAAAAGCGATTTGCAACACATATCTACAATGTTAGTAGAGGATTTTGAGATTAACTCCAGCGTCTGAAAGTCTAAATATTCTGTCTCTTGCATCCGTTTTATTTTATCGCGAGAACTAAACAAAATAATGTCGAAATTGCCATTATTGTAGGTGTCGGTAATTCATGTAAGCTGTAAGCGTGTTACTATGTGTTACAAGACAAAGAAAAGTGTTTTAAAAAGGAAACAGTAGTCTGCGACGAACGGAGGTGCGGTGACTTGCTGCCATTCTCAAAGAAAAAGTTGTCAGATTTGCCTCTAACCTGAGATAAAAGAACCTGACATTCGAAAAAAAATTCTTGTTATGTAAATTATAGTCTAAGTAGCAAAATTACTTGCTTTGAACTTCGGTGATATATTTTCATGTTTGGATGTATTACTTAAAAAATATAAATTTACTTCGGCTTCTTGTACACTGTGGCGAGGGCATTAAATTTTGACTTGTTGTCGTTTATAACATAAATATTGATCATAACAAAACTTTTAATTCCGTAGATAAATTGAAAATTTCACAGCAAGAAATCACAAAACATTAATAGGACATAAACAATGGATTAAGCGATGAAATGACTAGTACTTAAAACAAGGAGCGAGTAAGAAAAAGAATACATRATATTTGAATTGAGTACCTGCCGAGAAATTCTTTTCGGTAAAAAAATAACATAAATGGTTACAAAAATAACCAATATTCAAAAAGAAAAAATTAAGCAATACTAAATCGATAACAATAACAATATAGTTAATGAGCATCAAATAGCATTTTTTCTAATCAATTTCCTTTTTTTTCAAATTTTCTAAAGAATAGGGGAAATAGAGGGAAAACACACAAATGTTTGATAAATAACGTGAACTGAATTTTCCATGAAAAAATTGCTGAAAATTTTTGAGAATTGCATTTAATTTACGAAAATAATCAACATTTAGTTTTAGTACGCATTTTTAGCACAGACAATTAATATAAGCATAGAATACTTGCTTTGTGATTAGATTATTGTATGTCATTCATGGAGAGAAAAAAATGAGAAATATATAGGTATGAATATGAAATATCCAGACAGAACAAGAAAAAGCGTATCCTACACGACAAGCATTTATACTATACCTAGATTAATATAGGTCTATCAATCTTACCTGATCCAGGAATTAAGATATTGAAAATCAAACACAAAACAGCTAAAAAAGGTGGCATTATTGGTATAGCTTCTTTCACAGAAAGTCTCTTGGCTCCTTTGCCCTTTTTATCGTGTTCATGAGGGACAATTGTAGGATCGGGGACTTGAAATCCTGAAAATGGAGTCGCCGTGAAACTCATCGATGAAATTGAACCACTTCGAATCACCGAACTAAAACATTCTGAGTCCTCATTGATGCTTTCAAGACGCTTTCCTCGGCTATGGGAATCTGGTAAGCGTCGAGAATGGTTTGATGGACTGTTTCGTGGCTCATGCAATGTTCCATCGTCATTGGTTGGAGTGTTCAGTGTATACAAAGCGTCTTCTGTATTGTTATTTAAGCCTGTCTTACTTTGCTCTTTAGTATCTGGACTAGCATCTGAAATAATTGTGCCTATTGTAGGTACAGAGGACAATTCCATGACTGATTATTGCCGTAAACTAAGGCATTATGGCCGGCTTGTTGAGATTTCAGCAGGGGTTTTTGTTTACTGAAAGCGAAATAATGTTATGACATCACTACTGTGTTTTACGAATGTATTTCCGGCCCCYTTCAATGACCGTATCTATTTTATATTCCATATGCTCACAACKGTTGCGTAATATATATCTCCCCGATAAAATTAAAATAACGGCCCATCACGAAAGAWAACATTGAGATTTTTGACAAATTTCTCTTATATTATCAGTGTCTCTTTCTCGGATTTTTACGACTCTTGAACGATATTTGATAGTTGGTGACCTCGCGCGCCGCGAACATGACATGAACTTTGGAAGTCACGATATCCACCGCAAACGCAAATGCCGTTTACTCGGGCTACCTTTAAAAAGGAATGTCTGAACTTAAAAAGGTTATATATTTGGCAACAATAAGCTGTGTTTRATCAAACACAGATTAATTTAAATTGAAAAGCTATCGAAACGGATTACTAGAGGAGAGTTACAAAAGGATTCAGAAAAATTTGGATAAATAGAGGATATTACATGGGCGCGCGGAGATACGGATTTTATCTTCGAGTGTTGAAAAGATCTCTCACGAGTGAGCGTAGCGAATTTTCACGAGAAGATAAAATTCCTATCTCCAAGCGACCATGTAATATTCTGTTTATCATATAATTACATATGAAAGCAAATTGTGTCGTAAAATACCTTGATTTTACTACTATATAGAGAAACCTCGAATGTGTTATTTTCACTAGAAAATAACATGTAGAAAATAACATGTTATTTTCACTAGTGAAAATATCAATTTTATAAAATGGAGAAATATAGGTATTTCATAGATAATTATATGATAAAAATGCATATGCTCGCTTTTCAAGCTATATTTGGTTAGCGACTTTCGTTGTAAGTTATCACTCACAAGCCGGTTTGCTATCGAGTAAAATTGGCACGGCGCAAACCCAATACCACATGCCAAGCGCGAGCCTTTACTTAAGAACAAAAACAAATGTCAAGTGAAAACTAACGTCAGCGATTTATTACGCAAAATAAGTCCGGGGACAGGATTCTCTTATAAAAGAGGATGTACCTCCTCGTCGTTCCTTTTAGGGATTGAAACAAGAGACAAAGAGCTAAAGAAAACTTATCCCCAGATCCTATCAGGAGCAATACTCGTGCTATTTTTAGAACAAGTTATTTTAGGCTTGTTACCAATCGCCGCGCGGTTAATGTTCATGTACGATAATGGCGGAGTTGGCGGCAAAGAGATTATGGACGTGCGAAAAAAAAAGAAACTGCAAAATTTATTCTTGAAGAGATTTGTCGAAAAAACTCAGATTCAAACCTCCTACGGTATTATCCAATCATGTTCTGTTCCAAAAATAACTCAAAGTTTGCATCATCTCACCTCAAAAATATTCAATGCTAAGTGATTATTAATAAATGTAAAGCACTTACATTATTATTATTATTACACACTGCGACGACCACAATTCCTTACAATTTTTTCACCGCGGCTCAAACCGTCATTTCATCATAATGTGTAGTGCCGGGCTTTATACGAAAATAATTGTAAATCAGGAAATAAACTTGTTTGTTCTTTWTATGTTTTATTTTAGTGTCGTAGGATCATCAAAAGACGCGAGGGACATTACAAGTGTAGGTGCCTAGTGGTCAGTTATCCATAGAAGCATAAAACTGACTATTAATAAACATGAATGTTTATTACAGTTAACTGTCTTTGAACGACCACTCTAGTAAGCGACCATCTCCCGCAAGCGACCACCTTTTAAATTTCACCTTTTGTTCGAGTTTCCCAGATAAATTTTGTAAAAAAACCTTATTCATCAGCGACCATCTCTCGAAAGCGACCACTTTTTCCTGATCCCGAGGTGGTCGCTTACGAGAGTGTTGACTGTATCGCATAATTACGTCATATATAACATTCTATTAACGCTAAGGATTATGGTCACCAGAGGGGATTAGAGTGACTGCATATCAAATAAAATGTATGATGAGCTACCATTGATAAATGATGTACATCAAAACTCGATACACCAAAGTTCTACTTTCGTAAAGAATGTTATAGGTCCAAGTCTTTTTGGGCATCTATCCACAACGTAAATATACTGTGGCGTCATAATGCCATAGGGCAATTGGTCGTCATATATAATATCACTTAAAATATTGATATTTATAATGACAAAGCAGTTAGTTTATAAGTGCTACGACTATGAACTGAGCATAAGCTGCAATAATAATAAATTAATTAAKMATAATTAATAATCATAAATTAATAATTACCACCGCATTCTCTTTGAAAACAAAGCYGTCCCGACTKTTAGATTGATGGAAGGWTAAATGTTGTTCCACGTGTTTGTGACGTGTTATCTGACTTCATTAATGAATGTTAATGTTTTTAKTAGAAAACGGATATGAGAAAATTACCTCGAGTTGTGTAGCCAATCAGAATGCAGGATAAGGGATTGCTCACTCGTTCATGAGATTATGCTTGGTCGATACTCTTCTAACTGTGAAACACTTACTGATGTTCAGTATTAAGTATTTTCTAGTAGTCATTTTCAAATACAAAAATAGAAAAAAAATATGAGCTTAAGGACCCTATTATCAAATACATCATTTCACAGAAATGACTTTTGTCTTGTTACATCAAACTTAACAACCGTAATGGTGATTGACAATATCTATCATTTCAAACTCAACTGCTGTCTCGCTTTGATTCAAAGCCTGGGTTACGTTTAATTCCAAAAATGAGGGTCACCGTGATCAGTGTTTTCTCGCACGATTTGTTAAAAGTGCGGTTAGTTCTAACATATGATTAGTGTTAGGACTTTTGTCTTAGGCTTAGGGTTGAGATTTGGCTTAGGGTTAGACTTGTGCTAGGGTTACTTTGGAGCTTGTGGCTAGGGTTTTGACCTAGGGTTAGTCACGTGAGCAGCCTTCGCCAGCAAAGCCAAACTCCATAGATGAGATCTGCACACATCATGCTCAACTCAATACTTTAGGTAGTACCTAAAGTCCCTTTGCTATGCTTAGCCATGAAGACGACCACCCCCTAAACTTTTGTGCGATTTGTTAAATCCGAGCTAAATATGCGATAAAGGCTAGTAACTCTGGACGTAACTCTGGACTGCCTGCATAGTTTTAGCTTAAACTTTGCGAAAGTAATCAGACTTGCTGTTAAAACTTGTTCACGTTTGGAACGAAATAGCCAATAAACTACGAAAAAGTATTTTGATTAAAAATGGCGCTGGTAGCTGTAAAATGGAGAATTTGAACACTTGTCGCATGAGTAGCAATAAGTCAAATTCATGCAGGGCTGAAAGAATTACGTACCGTTTTTAACAGCCAATTTCATTTTTTTCATTTAAAAAAAATTAACATGAGACTTTCATTCTTCACGTAAAAATATGGTTAATGATACTAATAAAGAAATAAGTGCCGATTTTTCACATGTTAATGAAAAATAGATCAAGATTTTTGCAGTTTCACTTATTAATAAGAAATATGTTTGTTTTGTGAAATGGTTGTTCGCCCATGATGTTTGCACAGAGATTTGATGATGAATTAAAAATAACTCATAGGTGTAAAGAGATTGGAACATGGTATTTTGAAAGAATAATAGCCGTTTTATACGGATAAAAAGAGACGCTTGTTATTATGAGAATTGTATATATGAAGTTGGCAGTTATTTTAAATATTAAGTCCTTGAATTAAAAAAGTACTCTATAGATATCTTGCTTAAGATAACACTTCTTGGCAATCTCCAATATACAAACTAAATGTTTTATCCATCTGATCTATAGATAAAATAATTTTGCTACAGTTATTACTTTTGATCTTGCACGTTTGTGCTCCTTATAGTCCTCTCGGTGTGCATGACACGCTAATTTCTTGAAATATTAAAAGACAGTCCACTAAAAATGTTTCAGAACACTTTGCAGTCGAATCAAATTAAACCATGTTTTTAAAATTTCTTATATCTAGAACTAGAAAGGCTGTTATCATAATTAGATCAATAGAAAACGATATACTCACCCGAGCCAGGAACCAGTACATTAAGAACCAAACACACTACCGCAGCTTGAATTGGCAGTATAGGCAAAGCGGCAATTACGACCGCTCTTTTCGGATGATCACCTCCAATACTTGCTACACTGACACGTCGTCCACGATTAAACATTTCTCGATATTCTTGCCATTCTATCGTGTTTTCTCGTAGTTGTTCTGTAGGTGGGTTCTCGATGCTTTGAATCGTTTGGCGAACATCTGATATACTACGTTGCTCAAGATTATCGATTGGATGAACGGCTCGCGGGAAAGGATGGACTACCAAGGATGGTAAAGGAAGAATTATATGTCCTGGAACATGGATGCTGTTTTGACTCCGTAACATTGGTTTTTCGAAAGCATTTGGACTGTACGTTGCATGGTCCAGAGCGACGACTTGATCGCCGTTCATGCTGTCTCACAAAAATATGATAATTTAAACGATTCCTTTTAAAACCTAAACAAACAAAAGCCAAATTATTAACCATAAACATTAAACACATATGAATGGAGTAGCATGGATTAAAATGATAATGAAACCAAAAAACTAATTAATATTGACTGACAGAAATAAATAGAAAAGAAAGAAATTAAAGTGATATTAAAATAGGTACAGCCAGTTGTCCGCACCTAAAAATGTAAAAATATATTTCCAATACTCCATTTTCGAATTCAAAGCTGTTCATTTGACAGGAGATTCTCTTACGCAAAGACCTTACAAACACAAAAGAAAGCACGAGAAAATAATGTTCAATAGCTCTAACAATTTACATTTGCACGAGTTGAGACTAATGTATTCCCAAAGGCCTGAGCCTTATGTCTTATGGGAATACAGGGTTAGTATCAATTCGGTGAAAATGCAAATTTTCAAGTCTATCGTAATAACGAAATTTTCTCGTGCTCTCCTTTGAGTTGATAAGGTTAGTGTTTTTCATTAACCCGTGAAACACACTTTATTTATCGCTATTACACTTTGGCTCTTTTGTTTTTTATTGTCTCTACGCGA